TCACATGTCTGTATTCCTCTATGTACATTTGTTTTTATAGATGAGCCAAGTAAGCGAAGTTAAAATTTACCCAGATGCCCTGCTTACTGCCAAATCTCAAGAGAAAAACAACAAAATTATATTTAGTAAGGTGCCACTCAGTGTCTTACTAAGGGTTTCATGACCACAGCAACTTTTACAAACTAAAACATCTAATTAGGGCTGGCTTACGGTTTAAAGGCTTAGTCCACTATCGTCATGATGGGAAGCATGGCGGCACACAGGCAGACACGGTGCTGGAGAGGTAGCTGAAAGTTCTACATCTGGATTTGAAGGCATCAGGCAGAGAGACAGAAAGCAACCCTGGGCCTGGCTTGAGCCTCTGAAACCTTACTGCCTACTCCCAGTGACGTACTTCCTCCAACGAGGCCGCGCCTACTCTAAAAAGGCCACTTGTCCTAATCCTTTCAAAGGATGCCACTCCCTCTGAGCCTACGAGGCCATTTTCATTCAAACCACCACACTCAGTCATACTGTTGTAAATGGCTTTAAGATGTCACATGTAGATTCAAAGCAGATGCCAACATATTTCCAGGTGGTTCCACCTACAGCTGCACGCTTCTGCATTCAAGGATAAAGACTACCTAAAGAATCGGAGTGAAAATCCATTATTCAAATATACTAAACTCGAGAGGCAGAGGCAGGCAGAACTCGGTGGGCTTGATGCCCTTCTAGTATACAGAATAAATTCCAGGCCTGGCTACAAAGTGAGACACTGTCTTACATACATACATACACACACACACACACACACACACACACACACACACACACACCCTGAAGCAATGGCACAGAGAAAAAGATTAACAAAATTAATCTTTAGTATAGCTACCACAATAAAAATACTAATAACAAAGGTTTTACCCCTAGAAGCCTTTCACTCTTCTCTATCTCAAAGAATGCACCACAATCCATCAAGTTCTAAGACCTCTGCCTTATAAAGAGGTAGTCAATGACATCTTCTCCCTCACCTCTCACATCATAAGCTTAAGTATCTTCCCCAGATAATCTCCTCCCACCTGTAGGCAATTCTAACATTCTCCTTACTGGGCTCTCCCATCTTCTGTCTTCTCTAAATTACATTCTCTCTCACAATAGAAAGCATCAAGTCCTTTTTGTAATAGCATTTGACAGAGCTGTAACTTCAAATTTGACTGCCTGGTGTATGCCTGCCTTCTCTAGTACACAGAACATTTGATTTTGTGATAGACTGTTTTACTTAACTGTGCTGGCCTGACAAACTTGACACAAGCTGAAGTTATCTGAAAGGAGGGAAACTCAATGGAGAAAATGTCTCTACAAGATCCAGCTATTCGGCATTTTCTTAATTAGTGATTGCTGGGGGAGGCACTGGCCCATTGCAGGCATTTGCCATCCTTAGGCTGGTGGTCCTGAATTCTACAAGAAAGCAGGTTGAACAAGCCATGATGAGCAATGCAGTTAGCAGCATCCCTCTATGGCCTCTGCATCCGTTTCTACCCCCAGGTTCCTGCCCTGTTTGAGTTCCATTAATGATGTGCTACAATGTAGAAGTGTAAGCCAAATAAACCTTTCCTCCCCAACTTGCTTTTGGTCATGGTGATTTATCTCAGCAATAGTTTATTATCCTAACTAGGATAATCACTACACTGTGACCTAGAAGAACGGCTAGTCAACAAGTAGTTATAGTTATATGTGTGGTAAAGACTACAAATGGATTCATAAACAGTCCTGAAAATAAACTAGCTATTGGGCTCACGTTCCAACATAAGGCATACCTAAAGACATAAATTCTGATAACAGAATTCTGCAGCTTAACTCTGAAACCAAACATCATATAGTTGACAATCTTGGCCTATTTAATTAGCGGTAGTTCATAAAGTAGCAGTAAATTTTAAAATCTTTAAAATCCTATTGTTTGATTAAAAACAGGTGACTCTGCAGCTGACCTACCTGATCAGCTTCCTTCAAACCTGACAACCAGCTAACCTGGCCTCTAGCCTACTAAGCCCATCCCTATAAATCAACAGCAAATACTCGCCTCAAATTCCTTCCATTCTCAATGTAATCACTAAGGCTCTACGCAACTCCCAGCTTCACATCTGAGCCCTTGCCATTGGTTCACTGAAAAGGTTTGTTGTTTTGTTTTGTTTCGTTTTTCTGCAAATACAGGCATTGCATACCTACTAAGCGCATGACAACTGACAACAAAAAGCAGTCCATTGGGGCCTTTCTAATCTCTAGACTCTATAACTCAGCTTTAGGGATTTGTTCACTTTATGCTTACACCTGGAATTACTTTCCTCAAAATTGTTACTTAACAAAATTTCTACCCACTGTTTAAGAAACATGAAATCTCCTCATGAGACAAAAGGTGATAGGTAGATGATAAATACATGTGAAATAAATAGATGGAAGGCTAGATAGACGACAAATATAATATAAATGAATAGATATAAAATAGATGAATATATATAAACAGAAAGACACATAGATATAACTACTTAGCACATATTTGCTGAACTAATGCTCTTTATTCATTACAAGTTAAAGAAGAAATCCTTGCACCTTCAGTGTGTTGGGAAGCATCAAAAAGAACCGGACTTAAACACTTGCACTTTAGTTTCTTCATCTGCAAAATATCAATGATAATAGCTCACTGAGCTCATATAATGTAGAGATAATGCTTTGAAATTATATACTACAGAGAGGAGTCACAGAGGCAGGATTTATGATCAGTGTCACGATTTCATTAAATAGTAAGAATCTGGTAAATGACTAAAATTTCAGGAAAAAGGAAACTTGAAACTCAAAACTCTTAGAGAAATATATATTAAAAATTATGTAGTTATGTAGCTTTTACCTTTTTTACAACAAAGAATTTCATGAATAAATTAATTCTGGAAATAAAAATGTTGGGTTTTGCTTATTTGAGGTGATCTTTTTTGTTGGGTGGCTTAGGGTTTATTGTTTGTTTTGTTATGTTTTAGAGACAATAGTTTCACTTTATGGCCCAAGCTGACCTAAAATAAACTATGTGTCCCAGCTTGGCCTCAAACTTCTGGAACTCCTCCCCATATCAGGCCCCTGAGAGCTGGAATTACAGGCATGCACCAACTCAAGACAATATACGTTTATCATCTTAAACATAACTAAAAATATTTCAGATTAATTAGAAATAATCCCAACTAAGAAGGGTAGGTTTTAATTTTTATAGATTGGATCTCTTAAAGTAGAATGACTGGACACATGCCTGTAAACCCTGACACTGAAATAGGAAGACAGGGTTGGAGTCAGCCCAGCCTCATAGAGAGACTGGTTTTTTTGTTTTGTTTTGTTTTTCCTGTCAATAGTGATTTATTTTTAGGCGGTGTTCTAGGTAGCCCAGGCTGACCTAGAACTTACTTTATAGCCAAGGGTAATCTTTTTTTTTTAATTTTTTTTTGCAATTTATTCATTATATATCCCTGTTGAAGCCCCCCCAGTCCCACCCTCCCACTCTCTTCCCTCCTATCCCCTTCCCCTAGTCCACTGAAAGGGGGAGTTCTCCTCTGTCATCTGTCCATAGCTTACCATGGTGAGACTGTTTTAAGCCAAAACAAAACAAAGAAAACTGTTTATTAGAAACAATGTAACACAGTAATTACAAAAGTCACTGAAATTGCAGGGTTCCTAAAAAACAAGACACAAAGTATCTATCTGTATAACCTTAGCAAATGCTAATACAAAAATGATAGCTAAAGCTATCAGACTTGTTAGAACAAGCAAATCTTCAAATCAGAGTTTCACAAAACATTTTTCAATATATTCGCATCTGAGCTGGAGAGTTAGCTCAGTGGTCAAGAGCACTGGCTGGTGTCAAGTAGGACCTTAGCTGGAATCCCAGCACCCATGTGGTGGCTCACAAACACCTGTAACTCCAGTTCCTGGAGATCGGATGCCCTCTTCCGACTCACATATATATATATATATGCATCCAATTTTATAGAATTAGCATCAATTAAGTGGCCTCTAAACTCATTTTACTAAATTATACAATTCCTCTCATTGCCCAATTTTTGGCTTTTATGGAGGGTGAACCAGTCAGTTACCTTCTGGCACTGGACTGATTAGGACTCTTCCCTGTTTGTAAAAAAAGAATAAGAAGAAGAAGAAGAAGAAGAAGAAGAAGAAGAAGAAGAAGAAGAAGAAGAAGAAGAAG